TCAGAAGCAAAAACCAACACATGCGTCAACGAAACCCTGTAAACAACATATCCAACCAAACCAAAACCTTCAAACGGGAAATCCGACACAAAAGCTGTTTGTGATACACCACCTGCCGCTGTTGGTAAAGAGCTCTCTGATCTCCGCCTGGGCTGGCTCAGCCGTCTTGTGCAAAGCTTGTTTGAGGATCGCATACTCTCGGCAACCCCCCGCAGCTGCCACTTGTTGTTGACGATGTTTCCAATCCGGGCTCGACGTATCTATGTAATCAACCAACATCATGTCGAACGGCGTTATGATGCGTTTCAGTACGATCATTCCAGGCAGAGGGTGGCCCAAGACAAACCACCTCAAAGATACTTCCAACAAGTGGCGTGATATACCTTGGTTTTTCCCAACATTTGCCTTCTCCAAGTCCTCCGTCCTGGGATGTCGGTCTTCGATGGCAGGGATGTTTTGGGAAGATGCCTGAGCTGCTAGGTCCGTAATGGTACATCTCTTGATCTTCTCGGCGAGGCCATCTCTGATCTTGCTGGCATTCGGGGCAAGGCTGGAAATAGGATTTCCACTGCACATGCCGCACGTCGCCAGCCTGGTCAACAAAGAGCCGCCCCCCTGGCTCCGAACTCGCCCATCTCAGGTACGCGTCCTTGAACAACGGTGGGTGGATCGACAGCGCCAGGCCGATGTAGTCGACCGACTTGGATGCGCCCAACCACTTGTGGCGAGGCCAGGTCGGAGGTTCGTGTCCTACCAGCATGGAGCACACTAGAGCGCAGGCCTTTTTCAAGGCGCTCTCTGGGCCAGTGCGGCACCCGTTGCAAACATGACGCACTTGAGACTGATCCCACTTGTAATTGAAGAACAGCAAGAGGGCAGATCGACAGTGAACCCTTGAGATAGTACTTGCATCGCAGAACAAGTCCAGCAATGATTCATTATAGCTTATGTGGTGCCCCTCTGGGCGACCGCGTACATACTCGAACCGACCATCTGAGAGAACCTGTCTGATGCATGTCCGTAAGCTCTGCATCGATGTCGCGCTGCTGAGCGTGAGGCTAAAATTGATGCTGGCACTGACCGTCGGCTCCAGAGGCTCAAACACTTCCTTCATCGAGCCGCTGACGCGGTGCACCTCGCACTTAACCCTCAAAGATGCAGTCGTCCGTGCGATCCCGCGCTCAGCTCGTTCCACTGCCCCATCGGCATCGGTGCATACACTCCGTTGAGACCGAGAATAAAGGCTAGCAATATCGTCGAACCTCGGGTTTGTGGCCGCCACTGCTTGGAGATATACCTTCCCAGTCGCGCGAGAAACTGCTTGCAACCAAACTGGAATCTTCACATTGATGCGGAGGATATCGTTGCCCGTCTGCGTCACTGCACTGATGGATTGATGGGTTTGCAGCAGCTTGTAGTTGCAACTCTGGGAGGCTGCAAGGGCAAATCTCGAAACTCCAATCCGTCTCACAACCACGGCGTCGCTCTCAACAGTATCGCAAATCGATGGCCCTATATCTTCCAAGTCCTTGATCGTCGTCTTGAGCGGGGTGCAGTCGCACTGCAAGTTGTGACTGAAGCAAATGAGTCTACCTCCACGCGCAGGAACATCTTTACTATGTTGTCGAAGCATTCGGCCCGCGTCACGTTGGTACATCAAGATACTCGTGCATGCAATGTCCTCCATCGTCTGGGCGACGTCTATGTGGCTTCGATGCAATATGTCTCCTATCGTCGATGCACTTATGGGCCTATCCACGTGACTCGGCGCAAGTAGTTTCGTCATCATGTCCCTCGCACTGCCGTCGACGACGCGCGGTGCCAAAGGCGTGCCCAAGGCAGATTCCACCAGGGCTGCAGCACGCTCCAACCAGACGCTGCTCTGTTCGAGAACTGCTGCTGGGAAGGTATTCGGGTGAGAATCTATCGGAATGGGAGCTGGTGGAGCATGCGGGGCAGCAATGTCGACTTCGTCGCCGCCGTGATCGGCCTCAGACTCAGGAGCGTCGGGCAAAGGGAGAGGGCCAACGTCATGGCCGTGAGCTGCAACCTGGTGTCGGCGACCGAAAATATGACCCAGCAGATGTGCAACACGTTTCCGCCATACACTGCGGCGGTTAAATGGTTCCAACGCCTCTCTCGGCAACCCATGTCGAGAAAAAGACAAGTCAGCTGACGTAGTGATCGAATTCTGAACGGCAGCAGCTGCGTCATGCGGCGGGGCCACGATGGCGGACACTGCAGCCGCAGCCTCGTCGCCGCCGTCGGCGGCGTCAATCTCTGCCGGCGCCTCCGTGTCGGCTGCTCCGGCAGCCAACAAGACCCGAGACCATCCTGTGTGAATGTCGTCACCAGCTTCGTTCTCGGATGATTTCTTCAATATGGAAGTCCAGGGCATGGTGCCCTTTCGCCAAAATGGTCATGGAGCGCGGGGGATAGCAGTGCGGCGGGGGGGGCAAGGGCGACCTACATACAAGCTCACCTAGACGCCCCCCAAGAAGCCCACGTAGACGCTCTCCAAGAAACCCTCCAAGAAGCCCACCTAGACGCCCTCCAAGAAGCCCACCTAGACGCCCTCCAAAGAAGCCCACCTAGACGACCTCCAAAGAAGCCCACCTAGAAGCCCCCAAACCCTAGACGACCTCTAAGAAACCCACCTAAAAGCGCCCCTAAGAGCACCGCAGAAGCCCACCATAGACCGCCCCCCCCTCCCCGAGACGCCCTAGAAGCCCACCGAGCAGTCCCCCCCGAACTCCCTGGAAGCCTGCCTGGAAGCCCTCTGGGAGCCCCCTGGAGCCCTCCTAGACGCCCCCCCCCCAGACTCCCTCGGAGCCTAGGGGGGGCCCCAGACATATGGCACCCCAAAGGGCCCATTAGGGAGGCCAACAGGGAACGCTGCCCATTTCGGCTCACCCCTCGCGCGGATCGTCGGTCCTCATCGTCACAGTCATCCTCCTTATGATCATCGTGGTCATCAACGTCCTCCGCATCATCATCAATAACGGCCGATGGTTTGCGACGTGCTCGCATCAGTGTACAAAAAAACATCGATCACAACGACGTAATCGAAAACGTATCAGGGTTTCCACACCTTACTTAACGTGTACTTGCCCATCATATTAAAAACGTAGTTTTTACGTGAATGGCCAACTTTGGCTCAGATCCGCCCTGTAGGAGGACAGAATCATCATAATCCTTGGCCATGGGAGGGGTGATCGGAGATGCCTCCTTGATAAACTTGTGGGCGACCTTGCCGCCTCCCGAGACAGCATCGCGCGCCCATGCTCGCCAGCGCTGCCAACAAAGACGGGCCTGCTCGCGGGTGAAACGCTCGGTGATGTGATATGCCGAGTCCACGACTGCTTCCAGGGAGTCGCCTCCTGTCGTAGCCGCATCTAGCAGTGCGGGACTGTCCCCGGCGAGCCCAAGATCTGGTCCCAGGATGGTCGGGCCGAACTGCTGGATGGTTCTCAGGAGGCCTCCCATGGTGTTCCAGAATCTGGGAATGCCAGGGCCTGCCCAGAGGCCTCGGATCTTGCGCAGGGCCCCTCGGAGCGCCTTCCAAGCCCGACCTTTCGGAGACACTTCATCCTCCCAACGCCGCTGCATGAGCAACTGGAGTTGCACTTCACGGCGCCGAAATCCTCCAGCACGTCCACGATAAGGCGTGCCACTACCCTCACAGAGGTCAAATCGACGGCATAGTTCATCTTCCATCTTGGTGAGCTAGAGGGTGTCCAGGCGCTGGTATCCAGGGTCCCCCGTGTCCCACGTCCACTGGTGCCTCAGGGGCTCCTTCTGGCATCCAATGGGGGCCCGCGTCAGAAAGGCCCTCCACGCTACACGGACGCGCACTGGGAGCCTCAGAGAAAATCCCTTAACCGTGAGCTGAACTGGGGCATGCGGTCCGCATGGAGCAGCACGAAGAGGAACGATACTCTGGACGGCGGCAGCCATTCCTCTCGAGACACTAGATAAGTCCAAGCAGCGGGCCTTGCCAGCGCCGCCCGAGAAGGTGGCCGTGTCGGGGGCCACAATCGAACCGTTAAGCAGCTGAGTCCACTTGACCAAACCAGGCGTCTCTGGCAGCATGTTGAAATCTCCTGCAAGAACCCAGGGCATCTGGCAGCTCTGAAGGTACGCTCCTAAGCCCCCAAGAAGCTCCAGGTTGTCCCCCTTGTACTCCTGACCGTCATGGGCGTACAGCGCGATCCAAAGAAATCCAGAGGCCGCCATCGCGTCAACCTTGAGTGCAGCAACTCTTCCTGCACCAGTGCGACGGAGACCGAGGTCTTGCCAAGGGATAGCAACCGAGGAGCATGCGAGGCGACTCCAGCCATGACCCCCGCTGACGTGGCTAGCTGGTGTTCTCCCGTACGCACCGCCGCCTCGAAAGTGGTCTTGAGGCCCCCTTGTAGCGCCTAGTTGGACGCCGACCTCTCTTTGGATTTCTCGAGCCGAGTCTCTTGCACACTCCAGGCGTGGCATCTGCGGGTCCCCTGGGCCAGCTGCCATTCCAGGACATCTTGGTACGAGGCCCAAGTGTTGGGGTTGACGGTGATGAACCGCCAGGTCGGAGGCCCGTCCGAGGCCTGGCCGCGGCGCCTCCTTCTGCCTGGTGGGGAAGCTGCCGTACTCTGCGTAGCCGACGTCGATGCTGACATGTCCGACGGACTGATGGATGCCGATGAGCCCGCTGACGAAGTCACCGTAGCTGAAGCTGTCAGCGCTGACGAAGCCGCCGTTGCTGCTGAAGCGGGAGTCGGCGCAGTCCTGTGCACATGGGAGTTCAGCCAGCGTATGGTCCCGCTCTGGTTGCCCACATGGCGGTGGATCTCGGCCTGGTACTCCATCTGGCCAACTTGCTCGCGAAGCATGAGAAACCACCGATGGTATCGCGCTCGTGCTCGGGCTCGCTCTTGCCAGGCGCGAGCGCAGATGTCCCTAGCCATCCTGAGGCGCGCCTCCAGTACATCGACCCCTTGCTGAGCAGCGATAGCCTCCAGGATGGGAGCGAAGACGTCTGCTCCAAGCTGGGCGCTCACATAGGACACGCAGTGATCACGCCATTCTCGCCTGCCCTCCTGCTCGCAGTGCACGTCGGGCTCTGGCGTCATCCACGTACTTGCCATGGTGCGTAGCAAGTGTGGAAGTTGTCGCTGCTGCTGGCCAGCTCGGCCTCGACCGTGCGGGTCCAGTCTGTCGTCCGCATCGTTCGCTTGCCAGTCAGCCCACGAGAGACGCCCTGATCCACCAACCCTCTCGGAGGCGAGGGTCCGACGAGCCGCAGCATCATCAGGCCTGCGATGACACTGGCAGTGGTCGGCTGCCGATGCGTCGTACCCGATCCACTCGTGGCAATCGTCGCTGTAGTTGTGATCTGTGACGCTGGAGTCGTGGTCTGAGTTGATGTCCTGGTGCTCTGGGTCCCACTGCGCGTCGCCTGCCCTGACGGCGCAATCGGAGCTCTGCGGGTCGCTCATGCTGAAGATGCCGTCGCTCTCGACGTCGCTGTCGTCGGAGTCCAGCAGCTCGCCCTCGCAGAACTTGCTCCAGTAGCTGTAGATTTTAGGGCCCCATCCGTCTGCCTGGAGGGCCGATGGGTGGGGCCTGCCCCGCGCGCGCAAGGTTACCAGCCCACTCTCGTAATCTGTTGTACTCGTAGTTGTGCGTGTCCATAGCCATGCGCCTCTGAGCCGCACTGAGCGACGCCAGCCAGCGCAGGTACCTCCGCCGACGATGGTCATTTCTCTGCCACGAGAGCGCACACATCTCAGCTGCCAACTGGTTCGGACTCTGATTGCGAGCACCCAGGAGCCACGCAAATCCGGGGTGGCTTAGCTCATCTGTCAGAAATATTATGCAGCTGTCCAGGAAGTCCAACCTGTCGCTGTCCTGCTGGCCGAAGCTCGGGTCGCGAAGCCACCGCGCGGCCCACTGGTCGATGAGGCGGTCGAGCGCGGGGGCAGGGCTAGATCGGACCCGTCTCCGCGGCGCTGGAGGCTGCTCAGGCCGCTCGTCGCATTCCAATTGCGAGTCCGTCAGCTGAGCTGCGAATAGCAAATCATCCTGCCTAACTCCTCCCGCCGCGCCCCACCGCCCCCTGTGGAAGTTGGAGCCCAGAGGGAGGAAGCAGGCCGCGACGTCGACCCTGGACCAGCCAGGGTTTGAAACATTGAAGTTGTAGACGTCGGCGCCCACGCTGCCGTCATGCCCATAGTCTCCCAAGGCTGAGGGGAAAGACAACGTCGAGTGCGCATCTTCTGAGTGGTCAAAACTGCAGTGCACAAGATGGTCTAGCTGGACTGTCCAACCCGCATCCTGCGTCTGCCCCCAGGTAGAATGGTAGCGTTCATGATGGCCTGTGCTAAAGCCGCTGCTGTTGCGACTTGGTGGTCGCAGCCTGCGCCAGCTTCTCCTGGGCAGCCTTGACCACCGACGGAGTGGCCCCGGCGGCTGCCTCGGGCGGCTCGGCACCAGCTCGCGCCGGCTTGGCTGAAGGCGGTGCCGACGAGGCCGCGGCCTTGCCAGGCGTCGGCGGGGCCTTGTCCTGTGGGGGGGGGTTGGCATCGCCGCTCGCTGGCCCGCTGGTGTTGCCGTCAGCCGCTGCTGCTGCAGGCTCAGCGGAAGGGCGAGGCCGCTTGGCCTTGAGCCGCTCCTTCTGCTTGGCTTGCTCCTCTTTGATGGCCGCCGCCTTGGTCTTGAGGTCGCCGAAGCAAGCCTTGGCCGCCTCGGTGAATTGGCGCTGGAGCTCATCCTTTCGGCGTTGTGCCTCTTCCTTATCCTCGGCGGTGACGACGTCGTCCAGTTCGTCCAGCCCGAACATCCCTCCGTCGCCCAGGCGGATCTCTTGGCCGTCCAGCAGCGAGGACAAGTCGATGGTGGGCACTGATGCAGCTGCAGCTTCTGGCCGCGTGGCTCCGTCATCTGCGACAGACGAGGCCAGTCTCCTAAGTGCAGCTTGATATAGCCCACGGGCCAGGTCGACTTCTGACGAAGCTGCTGCCACTTCCGCTTGAGCTTCATTGTACTAGGCCGCCACACGATCAAAGCGCTCAACTGCACGGCGAAGGGCTGCTTCTGCTTGCTTGACACGTTGAGTGGCAGCTCCGACCGTGATGGAAGCTGCCTGCTGAGACTGCCGATGTTCGCCCAACTGCTCCCGGTACTTAGCAGCCCCGTCGCTGTCGCCCGACTTGGACAGCAGGTGGACCAGGGCCTCCAGGCGCTGCTCCTCTGTGGGCTCGCCCCATCGCTGAGGGTCTGTGTGTCCAGGCTCTTCGCGTCCAGGTGCAGTGCCGTCCGAGAAACTGACGCTCGGGGCACGGGAGCGGCTGCCGCCTGGGGCAGCTGGGGGTGGCTGACCCCACCAAGGCCGCCACGCTGGCCCCGCAGCTGCACTGTCAGGAGCTGGTGAGCGAGCCCGAGGACGATCAGCACCGAGACTGCCTGAGCGGCGGGGCGGCTTACCCGACGGGCTCGGGGGCGCGCCCTCGCAGTGTTTGCGCCACTTCCACCACGAGAGGTTCTTGCCACAGCCGCACTCGTCGCAGCGCACTCATCGCCGCCCGCGAACGAGTCGGGCCGCTGCCGGGCGGAACGGCGCGCCGCGAGGAGCTGCCCCGCCGAGACAACGCGCGCCAGCATCCGAGCAGCTGCGCGCTGCTCTCTCTTGCGCCTGCGCCAGGCGCCCCCCTCACGCCCGGGCGTGGCTCGCGGCCGCCGCGCCGAGGCGCGCCGAGGGATGTGGGGCGTCCTCCCCCCTCGGCCCGCTGGCGCCGCGGCTCGCCCGAGCCCTGCCTCACGGCCTGGCCGCTGCAATCGCCCGCCCCCGCGGCAGGCGGCAGCGCGCGGCGGGCCCGCTCGCGCGCGCGCGCGAGAAGCCAGATGGGTTTCCTCCTCCTCCTCCTCCTCCTCGTCCATCTCCTCTTCCTCCTTTCCTCTTCCTCCCCCCCCTCCTCCCCCACCTCCTCCGCGTGCAAGAAATCCAACAACATGCTGCGGAAATCAACGAACTGTGTCCCTCCGGGTTTTTTCGAGCGCCCTTTTAGGACTTGTCGGGCCGTCTTAGGGCCCCCATTGGGCGTCCTGGGAACCCGGAAATCATGTTCCGATAGAGGCTTCGGGGAACATGATTTCGGACGCTGCGGAAGAGGCCTCCCGAGAATCTCTATAGGCAGCTCTGCTTGCCACCGTTGTGGCTCTGTTTGGTGCCTTTGGGGGCTCTCTTGGGCTGGCTTGCAGCTCTCATGGGTCGTCTTGGGTCCCTCTTGGGCCGTCTTGGGGCTCCTCGGGGTGGCACTGTGAAGACGTCGTCGTCGTCGCCGTTCGCCGATCGGCGGCGTCAACTGTTGTTATCGTCGCCCATCGTCGTCGTCGTCGTCGTCGGGCGTCGCCGTCGACGACCGTCGTCGTCATCGTCAATCAACGTCGCCGATCACCGTCGCCAATCGTCGATCGGCCCCGAACCCTCCCGCCCACTCCTCCTCCTCTCCTCCTCCTCCTCCTCTTCCTCCTCCTCCTCTTCCTAATATGCCTCCCCTTCCTCTTCCCCCTGTTCCTCCTCCTCCTGAAATCATGTTCCCGGAGACGCTTCCGGGGACAGGATTTCGAACGATGCAGAAAAGACTGGGTCCAGGGTGGCTCTGCGCACGCGGACAGCGTCGCCGCCGTCGGCATGGCCGTCGTCGTCGTCGCCGTCGATCGTCGATCGGCGACGTCGACTGTTGTCATCGTCGTCTATCGTCGTCGTCGTCGGTCGTCGACCGTCGTCGTCGTCGTCGTCGTCGTCGTCGTCGTCGTCGTCGTCGTCGTCGTCGTCGTCGTCGTCGTCAATCACCGTCGCCGGTCGTCGTCGCCGATCGTCGATCGCCCTCGAGCCTCCTCCTCTCTCCCCCCCTCCTCCCCTCCACTCCTCCTCCCCGCCTCCTCCTCCTTCTCCTCCTTCCTCCTCCTCCTCCTCCTCCTCCTCCTCCTCCTTCGCCCTCTCCGTCTCCTCCGCGCGGAAGAAATCCAACAACATCTCGCGCAAATCAACGAACTATGGCCCTCCGGGCCTTTTTGAACGTCCATTTAGGGCCTTTGGGGGCCGTCTTAGGGCCCTCTTGGGCGTCGTGGGAACCAGGAAATCATGTTCCCGGAGAGGCTTCTGGGAACATGATTTCGAAAGAGGCCCTCTTGGGCCTCCCTGAGGCCGTGTTGGGAGCCTCCTGGGCCAACTTTGGGGCCTCTTGGGCCGTCTTGGGGGTTCCGTGAGCCTCACAGGACGACCCTTTTGGGCCGTCTTGGGCCCTCTTGGGTCTCTCTTGGGCTGTCTTGGGGCTCGGGGGCGTCTGGGGCACTGTGAGGACCAAGCAAGCAAATATGCTGAAAACGTACGTTGTACAACGGGAATGGGCCGATTTTTGCCTCTTGAAGGCCCTCTTCGGCCAGCTTCAAACCATCTCGGGCCCTCTTGAGGCGCTCTTGGACGTCTTGGGGCCCCCTTGGGCCTCGCTGAGTCTGTTGGACAGCGTCGCCGCCGTCGGCGTGGCCGTCGTCGTCGTCGCCGTCGATCATCGATCGGCGGCGTCGACTGTTGTCATCGTCGTCGATCGTCATCGGTCGTCGTCGTGGCCGTCGTCGTCGTCGTCGTGAATCACCGTCGCCAGTCGTCGTCTCCGATCGTCGATCGCCCTCGAGCCTCCTCCTCCTCTCTCCCCCCCTCCTCCCCTCCACTCCTCCTCCCCGCCTCGTCCTTCTCCTCTTCCTCTTCCTCCTCCCCCTCCTCCTCCTCCTCCTCCTCCTCCTCCTCCTCCTCCTCCTCCTTCGCCTTCTCCGTCTCCTCCGCGCGGAAGAAATCCAACAACATTTCGCGAAAATCAGCGAACTGTGGCCCTCTGGGAATTTTTGAATGTCATTTTAGCCCCTTTTGGGGCCGTCCTGGGGCCCTCTTGGGCGTCCTAGAAGCCCGGAAATCATGTTCCCGGAGAGGCTTCCGAGAACATGATTTCGAACGAGGCCCTCTTGGGCCTCCCTAAGGCCGTCTTGGGGGCCTCCTGGGCCGGCTTTGGGGCCTTTTGGGCCGTCTTGGGCTGTCTTGGGGCTCCTCGGGGGCCACTATGAGGACGAAGCAAGCGAGTATGCTGAAATTGTACGTTTTACAAAAGGAATGGATAAAGTTCTGCCTCTTGAAGGCCCTCTTGGGGCCCTCTTCGGCCATCTTCAAGCCATCTCGGGCCCTCTTGGGGCACTCTTCGACGTCTTGGGGCCCTCCGGGGCCTCGATGAGGCTGTCTTGTGTGCCTCTTGGGCTGTCACGCGGGCAGCGTCGCCGCCGTCGGCGTGGCCGTCGTCGTCGCCGTCGATCGTCGATCGGCGGCGTCGACTGTTGTCATCGTCGTCGATCGTCGTCGTCGTCGGTCGTCGACCGTCGTCGATCGTCGTCGTCGTCGTCATCGTCGTCGTCGTCGTCAATCACCGTCGCCGGTCGTCGTCGCCGATCGTCGATCGCCCTCGAGCCTCCTCCTCTCTCCCCCCATCCTCCCCTCCACTCCTCCTCCCTGCCTCCTCCTCCTTCTCCTCCTCCTCCTCCTCCTCCTCCTCCTCCTTCGCCCTCTCCGTCTCCTCTGCACGGAAGACATCCAACAACATCTCACGCAAATCAACGAACTGTGGCCATCCGGGCCTTTTTGAAGGTCCGTTTAGGGCCCTTTTGGGGCCGTCCTGGGGCCCTCTTAATTGGGCGTCCTAGAAACCCGGAAATCATGTTCCCGGAGAGGCTTCCGGGAACATGATTTCGAACGAGGCCCTCTTGGGCCTTCCTGAGGCCGTCTTGGGGGCCTCTTGGGCCGGCTTTGGGGCCTGTCGGGCCGTCTTGGGGGGGTTCCGTGAGCCTCACAGGACGACCCGTTTGGGCCGTCGTGGGCTCTCTTGGGTCTCTCTTGGGCTGTCTTGGGGCTCGGGGGCGTCTGGGGCACTGTGAGGACCAAGCAAACGAGTATGCTGAAAATGTATGCTTTACGAATGGAAATAGGCCGGTGTTTGCCTCTTGAAGACCCTCTTGGGGCCCTCTTCGGCCATCTTCAAGCCATCTCGGGCCCTGTTGGGGCGCTCTTGAGCGTCTTGGGGCCCTCTTGGGCCTCGCTGAGGCTGTCTTGTGGGTCTCTTGGGCTGTCTTTGGGGCCTCATGGGCCGTCTTGGGCGGGTTCGTGGACCCCACAGGACGCCCGGGGCGGCCATGCCAACCGGTGGCACCACCCCACCCCCGCCCCCGGGCCCCGTCCGTCTGTCCTACTGCTCCTCTCCAAACCCTCGTTCCCTAACCTCCCGATCATGTTCCCGGACCCCCGTCCCTTCCCCCCAGAGCACCGCAGCAGTAGGAAAGCGTTCCGAAACGGTGAGAAATCATGTTCCCGGAAAGCGTTCAAGAATATGAATCCTACGTCGTCCAAGGCGCCTCGGAAGGCGCAGAATACTCCTCCAAGGCGCGGAATCATGTTCCCGGACCGCCTTCCGGGAACATGATGGGGACGACCTCCTGAGGGCCTCCAGTGGGCCTCTTTGGGGCCGCTCGGAGGCCTGTGGGGCTCTCCTGGAGGCGTCTTGGGGCGCGCTCAGGGCCATTTTGGGGCATCTTGGGGGCCTCTGGGGGCCTTCGGGGAGGCTCTTGGGGGCCTCTTTGGGGCCTCTTGGGGCCTCGCGGGGCCCTCTTAGGGACCGCTGGGCTCGCTTAGGCAATCTTGAAGCCCTGTCGGGGCACTCCTGGAACCGTCTTGGGCGGCTCCTGGCCGTCTTGGGAAGATTTTGGGGGTCTCTTGGGCCGTCTTGGGGGGGTCTTGGGGGCCTCTTCGGCCGTCTTGGAGCGGTTTGGGGAGACTCTTGGACGGCCTTGGAGCGTCGGAACCCCGAAAAAGCGAGAAGGCCAAAAACCTCGAAAGAAACAATAAAAATCAACGATGTTGGCTTGTCGGGGCTCTCTTGGGAGGCCTCTTGGGATGCCTTCGGGGCCTCATGGAGCTCTCTTGGAACGTCTTCGGGCCTTCCTGGCCATTCCTGAGGCTATCTATGCGCGTCTTGGAGCGCTCGCGGGCCGTCTTGGGCGGTCTCGAACTGTTCCTGGCGGTCCCAGGGGCCCTCCGGGACGCTTCGGACGCTCCCGGGGGCGCCCTGCACCCCCCATGGAGATGACAGGCACCGCCCCGGGGCCCTACTCCGATATATATATATATATATATATATATATATATATATATATATATATATACATCTATATATATATATATATATATATATATACACCGAGAGAGAGAGAGAGAGGAAAAGAGAGAGAGAGAGAGAGCGGTCAGGTCTGGAGAAGAGGGGATCGAAGAAGCAGAGCATCACCGATGCATCGGGGATCTCGGGATGTCGAACATCGGGCCCCAGATTGTGCCACAGTAACGCGTGATCGGCGATGGAGAGCCCGAAGCATCGACGATGCATCGGCAATGCGACGGGATCCTCCGACACCATCTACTTTGGCCCCGTTTGGGCGACCTGGAGAGGGGTGAATAGAGAGACGGGGAGTGCGACAGGAGCTAAGAGCAGACCTCAGGCGCGGGAACGAAATGGGTCTGGCCGTTCGGGCTGGTCCATTTGAACCTCTGGATGCACGGACGGGTCCTCTCCGGTATCCTCTGGCTTCACAAGCTTGTCGGGCCTCACTGGCGGGTCCTCCTCCACGACTGGGGCCCCCGGCTGCACAAACCTGTCGGGCATTACTGGTGGGTCTTCCTCCTCCTCTGCGTCCGGCTTCACAAGCTTGTCGGGCTTCACTGGCGGGTCCTCCTCCTCCTCCTCCTCCTCCTCCTCCTCCTCCTCCTCTATAGGGTCGGAAAATCATACACGTAAACTGTTGAACGTCCGCGCGGATGTGTTGGGACGGCGCTGGATCCCCTCCCCACACAAACCTGGCAGCGTCTCTGCCCCGCGCAACGGAGGAAGGGCACAGGGAGGTTGACTTGCATCTCGGCTCAAGCCCCGTTCACGCTTCCCCCAGACCTGCAGCGATCTTAATCCGTGCCTCCTTCTGCGGCTGGCACTGGGGCTGGGCGCTTCGGCGGCCCACGGACGCGAAGAGGGCGCGGGGAGAATGGACCCACCGACGACACATGGGCGACGCTCAAAAGCGGGTCTTACGCGAGATGATACAACGACTTACTCGGTGGCTTACGCGGGCCGCCAGCGCGGCACCCCGACATTAGAAGCGAGGGCACTTACGCGTGACCTTACGCGGGCAAGTTACGCGCCAGTGTCTGCGCAGACGACCTCGTTGTTTTGCGTCGTTCACATGAAATCCGAGCGATACTACAAAAGTTTGTATGACCGTGTTTCGCGATCCTCCGCGGCCTGGCTCCCTGGCTTGACGGCGGGATCACGATCCCCGAAGGCAAAAGGCCAATCATTCTCAGGCTTCACCAACGGGTCCTCCGCCGACGACGACGACGACGACGACGACGACGACGGAGGCAGGAGGAAGGAGGAGGAGGAGAAGGAGGAGGCCAAGGAGGAGGGACGAAGGAGTAGGGAGGAGGAGAAGGAGGAGGAGGAGAAAGAGGAGCAGGAGGAGGAGATTGGCCGATGGGGAGAAGATGAAAGAGTGCACACGGTCTCCCTGGGGGCGTCTGCGGGATAGAAGGGGGAGGGATAGAGAAGAAGGAGATGAACGGAAAGAGAAAGGAGGAAGAGCAGGATGGAGGAGAACGGTGTTCACGATCAGAAGAGGCACAAAAAACGATCAGGGTGACACACACCACCGTGCCGACGACAACGGAGTGGACGATGATGATGATGATGATGATGGATGATGATGGATGATGATGATGATGATGATGATGATGATGATGATGATGATGATGATGATGATGATGATGATGATGATGATGATGATGTGATGGTGATGGTGATGGTGATGGTGATGGTGATGGTGATGGTGATGGTGATGGTGATGGTGATGGTGATGGTGATGACGATTATGTGTATGATAATGATGATGACGTTGTGATGATGATGCTGATGATGATGCTGATGCTGATGCTGATGTTGATGCTGGTACTGATGCTGATGATAGTGATGGTGATGGTGATGGTGGTGGTGATGGTGATGGTGATGGTGATGGTGATGGTGACGGTGACGGTGATGGTGATGGCGATGGTGATGGTGATGGTGATGGTGCTGCTGGTGAGGAAAAGGATGAGGATAAGAAAGATGAGGAAGATGAGGAGGATGATGAGAATGTGGAGGATGATGAGGATGATGGATATTGGGATGATGAGGATGATGAGGATGATGAGGATGATGAGGATGATGAGGATGAGGATGAAGACGAGGCTAAAGATGAGGATGGGGATGAGAATGGTAATGATAATGATGCCGATAAGAATGAAGATGAGGATGATGGTGATCAAGATGATGTAAGGTCATGATGATGGTGATGATGGTGATGGTGGTGGTGATGACGGTGAGGCCACCGATGTTGGTGCTGATGCTGATGTTGCTGATGATGATGAGGATGAAGATAAAGATGAGGATGAGGACGGGGATGAGGACGACGGTAACCATGATGATGATGCTGCTGATGCTGATGATGATGATGATGGTGATGATGATTATGTTGGTCATGAAGACGGTGGTGATAATGATGCTGGCCCTGCTGTTGCTAATATTACTGATGCTGATGCCACCGATGCTGCTGCGGTTGCTTACGACGACGACGAAGATGATGATGATGTTGATGATGTTAACGATGATGAGGACGATATTGATAATGATGCTGATGATGATGATGACGCCGATGATGATGATGTAATGGTGATGGTGCTGGTGATGGTGATGGTGATGGTGATGGTGATGGTGATGGTGATGGTGATGGTGATGTTGATGGTGATAAAGATGACGATGATGATGGTGGTGAAGATGTTGGAGTATGACGATGAAGCGTATCACCATGATGATGATGATGATAATGATGATGATGTTGCTGTTAATGATGAAGATGAACATGAAGATGATGATGAGCGAGGAAGACGAGGACGAGGGGGTCGGAGAAAGAGAGGGAGAGGGCAAGAGAGGCGAGGAAGAAGGAGGTACAGGAGGAGGAGAGCGGGACGAGGCAGGGAAAGGGGAAGAGGAGAAGGGGGACGAGGGGGCAGGGGGAAGCAGAGGGAGAAGGGACCAAGGCCAAGACCAAGAAACGAGGGGGGCAGAGTCAAACAAGTGAGGAGAAGGGAGCAGGAAAAGGAGAAAGGAGGCGGAGGGGGCAAGGAGTAGAGATCCTATTTTTCTTGGCCCGGGGCTGTAGCGGAACCGCTCTGTCTCTGTCTCCAGACTTTGCAGGACCATTATGAAAAGTCTGGGTGGCTCTGGACCAGAATTTTCGTTCCGGTTCGCGTTTCCGGGGAAACTCGATGAATTCAGGGTCTCCACAATCTTTAGATTCGGATTCCTATTGTTACCTCATGATGTGTCCAAATTCGCTATGACATACATGCACACACATCGCGCTGCCGGGCCCATCGGTCAGGCCTCTAAACGAAGTAGATCTTTATCGCTGTAATCGTTCTTCCGCTCGATCACCTTCCTCGCAGTGAACTGTTTGCCGTTGATACTGCTGACCATCCACACGCCACTGCTCACCAACATCATGATACGGGGAAACGTGCCAGTCTTCGTCAAAGCGTCGAAGCTTATGGTATAAGTAAGGCAATGAAAGATCCATATATTGTACGATTAGTCAATGGTTCTTCTCTGGTTGATCACATCGAGAGCCTGCTTATCTTGTCAATTGGAACTCCCTTTGCTCCGCAACACAATTGTCAGAAATCCAGATAGTCTGTGTAGTGGAAGGTCGCAAGCTCCATTTGTCTAGAATCAATACTAAAGAAGAACATCTCGGGGCCGATGTTGAAACGAAACGGCTCTCAGTAGTTCTGCAATCTCATGGATATGACCTGCGCGTACTGGTTCATATGGTATCCCGCGTTCTCCTCGGCGCGGCACGTGCTGTGTGAAAACCTCTTTGCCTCGCCATTCTCCATGACCATATTACGGCATGTCTGCCACCGATGCCAATCGAAACGGTGGTACCAATTGAGGAGAATGAAGTCCAGCAAGTCGTCAGCTCCGAATCATGCGACCGATGATCGTCCACCTCGGCGCCCCTCACGCACCGCTGGAGCTGCACCGCGCCAGAGCAAATGTCCTCTCTAGTCTGACATAGCCACAGCAAGGAACATATACCGCTCAGAACATAGACCGCTCAAAGTTGATGAATCCCACGTGCGCCCAGTGAGTCCTTTGGCCTCGCTCGTCGTTCTTGATTAATGTCAATTTGCTTCGGCCATCCACGAATTTCTTGATGAATGGAGGCGTCGCCCCTGAAGTAATTCGCACGTCATGCCCACGCGCGCGCGAATGGTTGACTGCGACGCCTGACCTTGCCAAATCTCTCCTCTGTCTTCTCTTGTGCTCATCTCATCCATGCGCGAAGAGCCAGGATAATGATGTCTCCCACGCGCACCGCCCAGATCACTCTGATCTTGCCACTCTGGACACACATGAAGAAGTTGTCGTCGAAAACGCCCTGCACTCCTTCGAGATCAATCCTGATAAACATTGCGAGAGCTAGTAGCTATAAGAGCGGTGCGTTCACGGCCCCGTAGGTAGGCTTCAACAACATGAGCTAGAAAGGAACTGACTATCGCTGTCATGGATATGAGTTGCGAAAGTGCCGTCAAGTTCATGGGAGGCTGCATCTAGACCTTCCTCCCCTGCCTGATCTCGATGCCGAGCTGGTCCGCGCGCGTCTTCAGGCCCGGGCAGTTGAGGCCTTCAAGAACGCCGTCGGGATGTCCCAGGTCCATATCTCCATGTCCTTCTCGATGCAGAGGAGCAATGCAACCATCCTCTGAGAAAGTCTCGATGCTGTCGAACAGCGTCGCGCGACGTCGTTTTTTCTGAGAATCAAGAAACCCACGCCCGCAAGTCGGGAGTTGACGGTGTAGTACATGAGGTTGTTCTCGTCGCACATATTCTTCCAGCGTCGTACCCATAATGCGTCAATAATGCTGCCACTGTCCAGGTCATTGCCGTGCTTAGAGATGAGGGAATTGTTGTGGATGAACGATCAGGCGCCTTATTGCTCACCTTTCTCAACTAGGTCCTACAATACGTACATCTACTCTTCCGTCAACACGTTGTCGCTCTGTGCGAAGATCGACTCGCCGGCCATCATATCGAAGTAGAAACATCGGCTACTTCCGAACGGACCAGGGATAACCCGATGAGCTACCATAAGATCCCAAGAAAATTGCGTTGGTCAATACTGCGAAGATTTGTCGACACATCGTCCGCCATGCTCGCCATCATGTTCTGGTACTCGTCGATGTCATCATCGTCCAAGTTGGGAGAGCACATGCAATGTGACTGAGAATCTGCGAACGTGACCTGCTGGTTCAGGACCGCGGTAGTCCTCCACGAGCTTTGGACGTTTGGTGTCCGTCAGTGCTGGCGGAGACGCGATGTCGCCCTTGACCATTGGAGACTGCTCATTCCTCTTGAGGCTGTTCTCTTCAAACGCGCCCATGGCGGTCGGATCTTCGTCAGCGCCCCCCCGAATAGATAATACTGGTTCATCTGGCTGTGGTGGTGGTGCTTCTGGTGATATGGGATAGTCCGTCTTCCTGATATTCATGATCGGGGTGCCCGTGCCCGATGGAATGTCCTTGTTATTCGTCGCCTGCTTCCTGTTTCCCCGTGACTCTTCTTGATCATCTTCAAGATACTCGAGGGTTCTCACTGCCGACGGAGCGACTTCTGGATAATGCACTGTCTCCGCGGGTGATGAATGATCTTCCGGATAAAGTGTCGTTGCCCCTGGTGAAGTCGGCGAAGCAGGTGCGACGTTCGGCACGAGCATTTCCTTCTATCGCGTTGCAGGAGGTGACGATTGTGATGGAGCCGCCGTCGATGACGATGATGCAGGCGCGTTCGGCGAAGCTTAGGTCACCGTCGGTCTGTCGGAGAGGTAGCGTTGGAGTCGAAGGTGGTGTGTGTGTTCGCGCACTCATAGTTGGTTTGAATATGTTTTGAACGTTGGCGTTGCTGGTGGTAGTGGTAGTGGTGTCGGTTGCGTTGGTGACGATGCTTTGGGCGTCGTCGGTCCCGCGGTCGAAGTTGGTTATGCTGTAGAGGTTGTCTGTAAGCTTTCTTCCGAAGTGATTCGGATCTGGCCCTCTGTGATCTCACTGGTGCCCTCGGTTCCCGATCAGCTTCTGCGACCCGTCGCGGTGACCAGCGCCGTGGATCTTGACGCGCTGGCGCTGGCACTGCCGCCGTCGTCGCCTTAGCCTGGGGCCCATCAGGTGGCTGGGGAGCCCCCCCGGAGCTGCGGTTGACGAGATCTCTCATATTATGCGGTCGCCATCGATATCCATGCTCTGAGAAGTGTCGCCGTTGTCGCCACCGAAAGATACGCGCCGTTAAGAGCGTGAATTCGATGCACTCCGTGAGGTCGATAGCCTCGGCGATGTCGTCGGTCCTTGCCGTGCTCCTAGTGGTGCCGGAGGTGCTGGCGGCGGCCCTCCGCCTCGATCGCGTCCTTCTTCGGAAAACGAGATGTCGTCTCGAATGTCTGTATCCGATAATTCTGGTGGTACTGCTCCTGGAGCACTTGGCGCCGGTGGTGCCGGCGGTCCTGGCGAAGCTGGTGGCCCTGCTGGTGGAGGTTGTAATTCGTCCAGTGGAGGTAGTCCAGGTGACGGTGATGGTCGTCGCGCTCGCACTGCAGGTGGTGGAGCTGCTGGTGGTTTTTCAAGTGGATCGTCAGATGGAAATCCTTCACTGCCCGGTGAAAGTCGCGGTCCGTCGTTGTCGGAATCGAAGTCAGTGCCCGAGAGGTCGCCGAAGTCTGGCATCCTGCACTCCCTGATGTACTGGTGTTCCTCAAACTGCTGGAAGGAGTGGAGCAGCACGGCGGTGATGTCCATGCCATCTGACTTCGGAATATGCTTCTTGACGCCCAGTAGAGGTCCGCTTGGATCGATTTCTCGGATCGTGAAATTGCCGCGGTTTCCGATGGACCAAGTCACCTTTCGTCCGTTCTTCGCCCCTTTGATGATGTGCAACTTCTGAGTACATCTTCCATAACAAATGCCCCACACTGAGAAGCCCCATTCCCTCTCGCAGATTGTTCCGCCAAGGTCCAGATTCGCGGCGGCGCGCTTTGTAGATCCGCGGGCGCCTGCCGCGCGCTGCCGTTCTGATCGTCGATGTTGCCACTCTGATGGACAATGAATGGGACGCTGCCCTCGATGATGTCCAAGAAGTTGAAGTAATCCTCCAATAGGTGCTGCGTTGTGAAGGCTGCGGTAGGCACGTCCGACTGCCTGGCGATGAAGGCCGCGGTGGGCTGATGCAGTCGGATGTGCCGCAGTGGCACGACGCGCGGGCAGCCGCTCCACATCGCGATGGCGCCAGACAGTTTTGTTAAGCGGAATAGATCGCACGGTCCTCTCCGAGGAGTCCTCTCCAGCCTTCTCGCCCTTTGTGATATGGTGCTCGGTGGGGGTCCACGTTGTCGCCGACGCGGATCTTGGCGAGGTCCAACTGTCTCGGTCTCGCCCTGCCGGCTAGTTCTAGTAGTTCCTCCACGATGGTGCGTAGCACGTTTTGCTTGGACTTGATGCGCATTCAAACGTTGGCCTCGAAAGTGTCTGGCGAGGCATCCCGGGCGCCGCCGCAGGCCGTAGAGTCGTCGCTGTCCACGTCGTAGAAATCCCGAGGTGCGAAGCCGAAGCGCGTTCGCCGGCGTTGATCCGCCGTAGGTCGGTAAGTGGTTCTGCGCCTGCACCGCCTCGTAGATCAGAGTTTCGTCAGTCATGGGCAAGCCTTCCTCGTTGGCGTCGACCCTATTTGCGAGGGCGATGCTCTTCGTCATCCCGAGGCGGCTCTCCATGGGCCCCTCGGACGCACGTTGACCTCGATTGGGATGTGCGCCCGCGAAGTCTCTCTCGACGCTGCAGCGGCCCATGGCGGCGCCGACGACGTCGGAGGTCAGCGCGCCCTCCTGGCCTGAGAACAAGTAGCTAGGTCGCCCGAAGATCCGCACCCGAAATTCCACGAGGGCCTTCAGGTATGCGGGCGCCGTCTTGTCTTGTAGCCACGCTACTTGCTTGAATCGAACGCGCTCGCCGCTGAGTAGCAACCAGATGTTGTCCCACAGGAAGAAAAGGTCGCCATGCACTCGCTGGTAAAAGAAGCTGGTTATGCTGGCTCTGATCGATGGTTTAGTCACGGGCAGTGATGTTCGCTGAAACCCGCCACAAAGTTCCGAAGGTATTCGCGAGCAAAGTTCGAGAATGTCCCTGTTGATGCCCAGGTTCTTCAGCAACTGGATCATGTCCACAAATGTGGCATGCCAGAATCCTCGTCGTTTCTGGCCCCTGACTGAATGGAAAATGCCCTCGGTCGTTCCCGCTGCGAATAATCGCCGAACGTAGAATTCGAGTCCTCCCGGAATTGCCCCTCCCGGCAGTCGATGTCGATGGCTTCGGAAGTGTCGCCCTGGAGATCCGACGTCGAGACCCCTCGAGGATCCTGAAATTGATGTGAGATTGTCGTCGCCGCGTGTCCTCGGAGGCGTTCGTTGAACTTCTGGAGCCCCCAGGGCCGCGGGTCGCGATCGAAGCGTCGAGGGCGATTCTACTTCCGTCACTGCGAACCAAGAACCCGAAGAACCCGCAGGGATTGGCGATGGTCTATTCAGTGGTCGTCGTCGTGCGGGTCTGTCCTCATCGCCCTCGCGCCATGCCTGAAGGTCGGCCTGTCCCCTTGGAGGTAGCGCCTGTACTCCCGAAGCTAGTGAACGTGTCAAGCTCCTCCGCGACGCGGGCGAAATGGCCGCTGTGGTTGGTGCCGACGAAGCCGCAACCGCACTGGTCGTTCTCGTACCACTCAACGTCGAAGTCGTCGAAGTCTCCGCCCTCATCGAAATGATGTCTGAAGCCTATGCCTCGTCCTGTCTTGATTTTGCGCGCGCCTTTTCCTTTGCCTTCGCCCTTCCTGTGGCCGTCATAGTTCCTGCGTGGTTCCCAGCCGTACCGATTGCCGCCTTTCTTGCCCTTCGTCTTGCTCTTGCCTCTGCCGTCGCTTTTCCGTGACGGTGAGCCTTTGTCGCCCTTGCTGTCCTCGCGGTCCGCGTTCTCGCCCTTCCGGCGGTCGCTCTTGGCCGGGCAGTCAGGCGCACGGCCCCATTTGGAGCCGCAGTTCGAGCATCCCCCCCCACTTCTCGGTTTCCCTTTTCCTGTGCCCTCGCTGACCTCGCAGGCGCCGTCTTCGCTCCTGTGCTCGTACTCCTGGTCGGTGAAGGTGAGGTCTCCCGCGACTGATCTTCCCAGAGCTCCTGTCGCCGTCGTAGCAGTCAGTGTCGCCCCATTGGGTACCGAAGTCATCTCAAGAATGCCCATCTCCATCACCACGCCAAGAATGTCCATGCCAATCCGAAGTCGCCCTGGTAGTTCTGATATGGTCGGACGTCGCCATCCTGCTGAGTAGGGCCTTGATCTCTCCGTGCCTGTTCAGGTCGCCGTCCACCTTCAGCCTGATGTCCTCTATTTTCCGCTGTGCTAGTTCGCTGCCGGAGAGAAGCAGGTGCGAACGTCCTATCGGATGACATCCACGCCTGCTGTTTCGGACGCCTCGTCGTAGACCATCTCGAAGCGCCTGAAGGCCTAGAACTTGTCCAGATGAATCGTCACGTTGTCCTGTTCGTGCAGTCCGCATTCTTGACCAAGCCATCTTGCGATTTGTGAGAGACCGCTGGGCTGGGTTTCGATGTTCTGAGCTGGCTACGCTGGCACTGCTGGTAGGGCGAAAGCGTTCTCGCCGACGTAGTTGAGGCCGTCCCGCTCGACGGTGAATCGCGAAGCCTGTTTGCGAACTCGACCTTGAAGTCCGGATAGTACTAGAAGCACTGCCACCGTCTCGTCTGGTTAGTTCTCCGTGCGCCACCAGATCAAAAGGTTCTGGAGGTGCTTACGTACTGAGTATCGTTGACGTCCTCGTCGATTTTTTCCAATGATAAATGTTCCACCCCACGGTGTCGTCATTGTCACCCTCACTGAGGAAGAAGAAGAAGAAGAGTTGTCATATTCCATACCTGGTGTGAATTAGGATGTCTCCAATGTCGAAGACGCCGAGGAAGCAGTATGTCCGTAGTCCTTACCTTGTGTGGGTGATGATACCGTCCAAGTCTGAAGAAGACCAGTCAGCAACACCAGTGGTACTACCCGTAGACGTGATCTGGATACCCAGCGTAGTACCCTAGACTCAAGGAGTATATTTTGAATTTTCAAGGAGTCTTGATCTCCCACTGCTGGTCGATTGTCCTGTCATTCGTGAAGATGTTCACGTATATCATGAGGATGTTCCCGCAGACCGCGTTGATCGTCGCGGTGACCGTGGGTGGAGCTGTCCACGATGAGATGTATGGCGCCGCCGATGAATGGCCTGGGCGCCGCGCGCGCGGGGGCCAGACGCTCCGCTACCAAAGCAGAGATCGCATTCATCTGATCTCTGCCTCCAGACTTTTCTGGTACATTCCGAAAAGTCTGGGAGGCTCTGGACCAGAATCTTCGTTCAAGGGGAGGGGGAGGAGGTGAAAATGGAGGATAAGGTAGGAGGAAAGACGAAGACGACGACGACGACGACGACGACGACGACGACGACGACGACGACGACGACAACGACAACGACAACGACGACGACGACGACAGGAGTCAACTACAAAAGCCTCCGCGACTCCTTCGCTTCGTGAGCCTGTTGGAAGCCTCGCGGAGCTTTCTTTGGACACTCTGGGGCCATTCCGGGATCCAGACACGCGGCGACGATGTGATGTGTTCAATCCGCGGCCTCAGAGCCCGCGCCGACTTGCCCAAGGACAACTATGGGGGCCCAGACATCGAAATGAAAGAAACACGCCTGGATTGAGGGGGGTCGATAGGGGGGATAGCTCAGGGGGGAATCCTCGACCTGGAATCGGCGATACATCGCCAGTAGATTGGCGATAGGCCCCCGCCAGCTAAATCACACCTTCCTGGGCGGGGTGGGCTGTCTGGCCCCTTATCGGCGATGAATGAGCGATTGCCTCCACCTTCGCCTCCCCCTCCTCTGGTCCTTTAATATTCCTCTTCTGCCATCAGCCGTCAGGCTCCCTGGGCGGGTCTTCGGGCTTCACCAAAGGGTCCTCCTGTGGCTTCACCGGCGTCACAAGCGGGGCCTCCTCCTCCTCCACAGCTGGGGCCTTCGGGACCAACAGCGGGGAGTCCAGGATCGCCGGCGAACCCCCTGGGATCACAGGCTCCAGCAATTCGGAATCTTTGTCGATCAGATCCTCTGTGAGCCAAAAAGAAGCAATCGACAGCATCCCCCCATCCGTTCACCTCCCTCTCCCCCACCTGCCTCGCAGATGCCTCCAGGCTGGGGCTGGAGTAGTTGGGGCCCGGGTTCTAGATCGCAAAGCATCTTCGAAGCATCGGCGATATGCGGTGTCGTGTCCCCTGGGACCCAGTTGTCAGAGGGTTGGAATAATCAGCGACTCCCCGCTCGTTCCTGCAGCACCCCCTCCCCACTCTCAGCTCTGCGTTCGTGACACGGGAGATCTCTGGGCCCAATCCCGCATTCTGGCGTTTCATCCAGATTTCTTGCGCACGTTCCCTACACATCGATATGAAACCCCCCAGCAAGAAGAAGGCCTCTGGAACTCGAAATCCAGGAAGAACGGTGGGACTGAAACATCAGAGGTCTGGGTTATGACTCCCCGCGCGGCTTCTGGGGAGACGAACCGAAAGATACGAATACCGGCTTCCCACTGGGGAATTCTGACGAGTATCCTGAGGCGAATCCAGCTGCAGCAACAAGCCCCCCGCAAAGGCAAAAAAAGGCGAAAACACTGGCAATTCTTCCCTTTTCGGCTACACCCAAGAAGGGGCCTCCGCAAGGGTGACCAATTTCCGTAAGCTCGGCGGCGAACCCGATCTAACCAACGAAAGCTGTAACAGAATGTGATAGTTGTTCTACAGCACCTGAGCGAGCGCCCGCGGTGTGAACGCACAAAGTCCGTCAAACACACGGCGAAACGCTGAGTCGCAAGTCTTGATAGCACACGGCGGCGCAGCAGCAGCTGCGCAAGGAAAACATGGGAATAAGAACGGAGTATTAATGACAGCATGGGGATGCAGGCGAAGACTCGGTATGACTGCATAGCGACATGCTGGGGGGGCCACCAAAGGTCACTCCAGCAAAGGGCAACTCTTACATGTATCCGATGAACTGCGGAGGCGCCGCAAGCGGAGCATTCGCTACCCAGGATGGCCCGAGGCAGTCCTGAGATCTCCCCGAGGCGGCCGCAAGTGGCCACGGAGCAAACAAACACCCCCGAGAGGCCAAAGTCACTCCAAAACCACAAGAGAACGAGTGAGTTGTGCCCTCGTCAATTTTATCTGAATAATCGCCGGATTCGTGGGGAATCCGAGGAGGCCTGTAACGCCCGCACCTATGACCCTGGCTTGGAGAAGGCATAGCAATTCAAATGGCCGCAGTGGCGCGATCAGAAGGAACTGACCTACGCTGGCGCCGTGCGCCAGTTTGAATTGTGCCTTCTCGCCCTTGCGCTTCCGATTCGCTCTCGAAGCCTCAAGATGGCCCCCCCCCAAGATGGCCCTGGCGAGCCACGTCCCAAGGGCCTCCGCCAGCGGCCCCACCGCCAGTGTTTCGCGGCAGCGCCCCTCCTCTGAAGGGGCCCAGGGACACAAATAAGCAGACACAACAAAATCCCAGGGTGCCACAGATGTTCCAACATTTTTTCTGGCCTTCGTCTTCCCCTCCACTTCCCATGTGTTCCCACAGTTCCTCGGCAATCGACGACTCAGCGCGTCTGCGCGTCTTGGTTCCCTCCTGGTCCTCGTCGCTCGGGAGCGGGACGCGAG